TACCATATTTATACATGGACCCTTGGACGGAGTTGTAAAGGGTGTGCCAGGGCAGGAGTCTTGAGTGCGGATGTCTCGTCACCTCCTGTCGAAATGCTGAGGATGCTAGTTTCAGTGGTATGGCAATGAATGGTACTAGCATAGTCATCAAGAACCAGCAAGTAGCAGGAATAAGTGTGGGATGTCGATGGCAGAAGTCTGGCACCACCTGGGTTGCTCAAGCGATTGTAGCTACTACTTGGAATTTGACAACATGGGATGGTGCAGATTTCGGCCATCGACACAATGTCTCAGATAAGCAGAGCAAGATCGAAAATCACCTGCGGCAAGCCCAGCGGAGTTTGCAGTCAGGGCGATACAGCCAGACAATCCTTATAGTACACTACCCCATGGATGCCTGAGAAGGCGCGCTAACCCGGTATAAAATACAAGTTTGACGTGTCAGAGGATCCCCAAGACCCGCAGGCAAGCCCGTCTAGCTGCCTAACGCAGGTGAACATGCAACTCCAGCTGCCACAGTTGGTGCCATTGCAACGAATCCCCATGCATATTGAAAACCCTACACCCTAAACCCGGTTGTTAAGCCTGCGGATGCTTTTGGAGCTGGGCGTTGAGCACTTCCTACCTGAGTGCGTTCTCGCGACCTTGGTCATGTATGTAAGGTCAGATTCCCTAGGTAAGTCTATCACGAAACACTAGTAGTGAAGTGCAGATACATTCAACAGACTGAAGAATCTGCCACCTGAACTGTAAGTTCTATCCAGTGGGCGCTGGAGTCTATCCGTGCCTGCTGCGCAACTGTGATTACAACTTCTGCAAGGCGCGATCTATTCTTTGGGCCAATTCCGTCAACGGAACTCCGGCAGACTTGAAATCCTGCAGCGCCCGCTTTGCAGCAGCAATGCGTTCTGGATCCCGCTGTCTAAGTTTGATCGGCATCTCCTTGTCGTTCCAGCGCTCGTGTTTTGGTTTGAGAAGCACAGTTGCCAAGTATGTTTCCGCAAATGGGGAGTTGGCGGCGATCTCTAGCCTTCTCATTTTCTCATACGCGTCCAAAATCTCCTGGACAGGTGCCGTGCGGTACGCTCCAATTAAGGACGTAAATGTGATTATGTTTGGTTCTAGGCCCAAGTCCAAGATGAGTCGGAATAATACTTTGCAGCATTGTGCTGAATGCCATTCGCTTGCCAGCATGCAGGGATTGCTGATGATATGTGTTCGATACCTATGTCAACCGCGCTGGTCTTCATCTGGTCCAAGACCACGGCAGCTGATTCAACGTGTCCTTCTGCAGCAGCTGCGGTGATCCGAGCGCCTGCAAGAGGCTGATCAAGGTGACAAGTCCTCATGGCCTCTGCCCAGACATCGCGAACTTTCTGCTTGCGACCCAGCTTGGTGAAGATTCTGATTGCTGCTGTGAAGGATGCCGCATTTTTTTTGATACCTCGGTTGCAGAGGCTCTCGTAAACACAGGCGCCTTGATTGTACTGGTTGCACTTCATTGCAGCATTCATGACCGCGGTGTAGATTTGGATCTCTGGGGTGGTGGACTGAGAGTAAAGTTGCCAAACTTGTTGCCAATCGCGTCTGTCTGCAGCTTCGCATATCAAAGACAAGGTACGTTGCCCCTGCAGACTCAACTTGTCCCCCAAAGATCTGGCTTTCGCTCTAATTGCCATGCCCTCTCGCTCACGCAATGCACTTAGGTCTTCTTGTCTCCTCACTGCAAAACTAGACTGCGAAAAGCTTGTCCAGACTGACACCAAGAGAATGTCAATGGCCAGAGCTACGTGTCTGCCTGGGCCGGCCATCATAGCACGCCTGGTACAATGTCGCCGCCGATGTGTGCTACGACATTTTTTCGCGCCACCATGCGAGAACGTCTTCAGAAACATGACGCCCATATTAGCAGGCATTCAGTGGAGGACCCTAACATTCGCCCCAGGGTCGGTGTACTCTGTCTCAGGTACTTTGCTTCAAAGCAGGTACAAGCTGATTAAGCGCTGCTGTCCATGGCATCCGTTGTGCTTGGGTATGCTTTGGGGCTCTGTTGCTGCGAGGGTACAGAAGATGGGTGCGAACTATAAATGCTTACGGGTTCGCATTAAGCCATGGGCGATAGGTTTCTGCCTGTTTCTCTGCAAACGGAAAGGTGGAGGGCAACTGAAGTCACAAACAGTGATTCAAAGGAGTTGAAGGAGAAAAGATAGATGCGAGTGAGGGTATGGGCCTGGACGTTGGCTCCGCAGCAGATAGTGCCTTGAAAACGTGGCCAACAAAGTAGTAAGCAAAGTGTCTACTTGCCTATCTTGCGGCCTTTCTGTCGACAGTTGTGCACATCACAAATTGCCAGTGCAAGCCACGAGCAACGTCTGCAGGCGATCAATTGTCAAAACGTTTGAACCTAAACATGTGGCAAGAAGCTTTCGTGGGTGTTTCTGCATGGAGATATGCGTGGGCGTGCCGAAGAGACGCAACTCTGCCATCTCCAGAAGGCAAGCTGAAATGTTATCCAGGACTTACCCTGAGGAATTAAAACCTTTTCGGGTTTGCACGGGGCGGCCATGTCTGTCTGTCATGGAGGGCTATCTAGGCCGTGGACCTTAAGTCCAACTTAACCCAGAGCAATTCAGAACGGAGCTGACAAATCTTTTGAAATGGGCATGTGCGTCATGAGCATGAGCTCACCCTAAACCCGAAACCCCAAGCCATAAACCCTAAACCCCCAAACCCTGCACCCTAAACCCCTACACCCTACACCCTAAACCCCTGAACCCTGAACCCTAAACCCCTTAAGCCTAAACCCCTGAACCCTAAACCAAAGCGCCACAACGTGGCCAAGGCTAAGCCCCTGGGATGATTTCATCATGGCCCAGAATGCGGTTTAGGGTTGAGGGATTTAGCGTTGAGGAAGTAGGGTTTTCAAGATTAAGAATTAGGGTTTAGGGTCCTCCAAGTTGGGGGATATGGTTTAGGGTTTAGGGTTTAGGTGTCCTACAAATGAGGAATATGGTTTATGCTTTAGGGTTTGGGGTCCTCCATTTGGGGTTCAGGGTTTAGGCTTTCGGGTTGAATTAACCCCGTCATGCTATATATATATATACGGTATATATATATATGTATATATATATACATATACACCTGTATGTATAAAGGATATGATATGATATGATAGGAAACACCCCCTCCACCCTAACAATAGATGGTCCCCACCAGAGACATGTTGTTTTGTTGGGGATCCGGGGTGGGGTGATGGAAAATATTGCTAAACCCTAAACCCTAAAGGCCATCTGCAAAGTTTGGTTCTAGCAGAAACCTGCTTAGGGTTAAGGGTTAAGGGTTTAGGGTTTAGGGTTTAGGGCCGCAAAAACACCCACCTCATCCCAACTCAACACATTAGCTGGACATCTTCGTCAATTGAAGCCAGCACTCTGGATTGGTAATGAGAAACTCGTATGCAGCTACTTCTAGAGGTCCGACTTAAACTGAAAGCAACATGGTAGTTTCCCTAAATAGGGGGACCCCAAGATAAACCCCAAAATACTATAGTCCTTATTATAGGGACCCCCAAAAAGGTACCCATAATTTTGAGAATCCCCCACATAAATCGGATACAAAGACCTAGACCAACTACCCCAAAACTGAAGCCGGTGGTGCGCGAAGATCGAGAAGAAAGCCGTTATGGCATACACCCCGCGCTGCTTAATCTGGCGGCTTTCGCCTGCATGCAGACTGTATTCCAGGGGTTCAGATGCCTAAGGATTTTTGAGCCATAGCTTCAACTCCTAGTATCCCCCTTAATGACACCTATAGTCGTGCCATATAGAATCCCCTACATAACCCCAATTAAGGAGTTTAGACTATAGCTTTTATAGGTTAGAGGGTTACAGGATTCATGGAGTATAGGGCTTAGGAGCGAGCTTAGGGTTTCTTGAAATAGTGGCACGTTCAGGGACTCTCAGGGATTTGGGGGGGGTACAGCTGGAGTGATGGTCTTTTTTCGGACAGAATACAGGAATGTCTTATGAGAAACTCCTAGAGCAGCAGTGGATTGGGGATCTGAAGTATTGGCACGACATCACAAGGTACAGTCATCCGGGGGGTCAGGCCTTAAGGTACGGTTTTGGGAGACTTGTATCTTGGCGGGGGGTGTCTCGACCTCAAAGTAATAGAGGATCGTAGGTAATTAGTTTGCGAAGAGGGAATCCGACCCTTCAAGAGACAAGGTTTAGTGTTTATAGGGTTTAGAGGAATGTCCAGTCTCCAGGAACGCAAGCACTACTTTGAACCTGATGCAGATCTGACATATCTAACAGTAAAAGCTGTCAAGCACCCTAAGTCGCAAGGCTGGGAAGATGGTTACCTTTACTTACAGGTGCTTAGTAGGGAATAAGGGCATACAAACCATACATGATCCCAGCAGAATATATTCCCTGATTCCCTCCTGAACCCTAGACCCCTAAACCCTAAACCCAAAGTTTTGATGGAGATCGTTCTCATCCCCCGGTTCAGAAAACCCCTGGGAGCAGTCTCGGATCTCAGCCTCCCCAACTAGACTCGGTTTGGGGTTTAGGGTCCGCCAATGCGGATTTAGGTTAGGGGTTTAGGGGGGTTGCAAGTCAAACTCCTCTTATCTCATCTTGTAGTTAAAGCATGCAGCTTCAGTGGGGACATCTCTGAGGTTGATGCGAATAAGCCTGCATGACCGCAAGCAATTACGCAGAACTTTTGCGAGATATGAAGTAGGTTTGTATCAAAGGTTATGCGGAATGTTTACAATCACAACCGTCGGACGAAGGGAGTGCCAGGCCTTGCAACAGGGTAATATAATTTAGAATCATTTCAATTCCCAATTTAAAGCCATTTTGACGCTGTTCCCTATATAGGGTGAGGTCGCTTTAACTTGCCCAGTTGTAAGGCGGGCAGGTTTCAAGGAGTTTGTTGCCGTGGCATCTTTTTGACACGCAGGTACGAAAGCAGCAGCACGATGCTTGGCTCCGCTAATCCATGTCACCTGGCAGGGTCAAGGCAGTGAGCAATTTCAGGTCTGTAGGGCTTAGGGTTTAGGATTTGGGCTTCAGAAGTTAGGGCTTGAATTCAGCGTTTAGGGTTAAGGGATGAAGGTCTAGGGTGTAGGGGCCTCAATGATCACCAACAAGTGGAGAATGAAATAACAACTGGGTTCATATCAGGGTTATACATGGAACCCAATGTAGGAGCCTTGATATTCACCACTAATATGTTGAGGTCTATTTGAGGTACGTACCCTATGCCACAACATCTAGAACCATACTATAACAATCATCTAGGCTCCATAGCAAGCATGTTGCAAAACATGGGTGTTATCGAACAAGGCAAGAGGGGGGATATGGTCATGTGTAGAGGGTTGTGGTTTAGGGTTTAAAGTTCTTGGGGCTTGGGATTTAGGGTTTAGGGATTTGGAGTTCAAGGCTTAGGAGCTGAGAGGTTGGGTTTTTCGGGCTTGGGGTTCAGGCTTCAAGGGGTTGGAGATTAAGCCTTGAGATACCTCAACAGAGTGATTCACTTGGAGAAGCCAACATTGCTTCCTTTCCTGGAGCTCCTGACGCCCAGGGTCTAAACCAACCCTGAACTCTCTCTGATCCCTAAGCCCCAACCCCAAATATCCCCAAAACTCGATTCCAGATTAAGACCCTACTTTATAAGCCCAACTCTAGGGATTTCAGTCTAAGGAGAGGCGTATGTGGAGGCCTCTGTGTGTGTGTGTCTAAGTTTAGCGAGACCATTTCAGCTTGGCAAACGTAGAAGTTGTCTAGCGGTTTCTCTATGGTGGGGATGCGCCGCTCGTACCCTAGGAAGCAACAAGCAGAAAGCTCCATGTTACTGAGTCTAGGATTGCGAGCCTGAAAGTAACCACAAGACCCTCTGGTGCTTAAGGATCATAAAGTCAAGGTGCAATCTGTTAAGCTAGACCTTGAAAAACAGGTGAAACTATTGGCTCCCAAAAGTTTGCCCCTGCATGTGGGGCTCAGGTTTAGGGATTGAATTGTAAGGTGTAGAATGGAATGACCGCTCGGATCACGTGTAGTTTTTGATATTCCCAACAGTCTGGAGTTCAGGCTTGCGATCCTGGGAAGCATCTCTAGACCCTGACCCCAAGTAACCCTGAATGTCCACTGCTCCCCCACACCTCCATAAGACTTTAAGACAACGTGCAGAGAACCTCGTTGTCAGATTTCAGAACTGCCAAGCCTAGAGCCCAAAACCCAGAGAACCTTGAATATGTTTTTACATAAGTTTCCTGGGCACCCTTGACACCCTATACATGCCAAAATATATTCGTCATAAAGCCGTCAAAGCCCGGTCTGGGGTTTAGTGCTTTGGTTCTTCGGGCTGTCTAGACGTTAAGCAGGTTTAGAATTTGGGGATGTTTTGGCTTACAGGGTCTAGCGTGCAGAAAAACACAAGAAACACAAATCCAGAACCGCATTCACCCTGGACGTGCCTAGACTTGAAATCCGGAACCAAATTCAGAACCCAGAACCCACAACGGCCGACCCTTTGGAATTCAGCCGAAGCGGCCGAAGTTCAGACGCGCGGGTGTCAGCTTCAACTCGGCTTGCTCTGCCTGCTCCATGTCCTTGGAAGGTTGGGTTTGGGGTGTGGGTGTTAGGGTTTAAGGGGATTAAGCAGGGTTTAGGCATTAGGGTGTAGGATTTGGGACTTACGTTTCAAGATTAGGGTTTGGCGTCTAGCCTGTGAAGTGTGGACTTTAAGATTCGAGGTGTAGAGTTAAAGTTCCTTTGTTTCAAGCTTCAGGCTTTGGGTTTTTCCCCAGCTCTATTTTTTTCCAGTATGGGACTGAGAGATGTCCAGTTTATTTGGTCTCTTGGGCGCACCACGCTTTGCAAGAACCGTGTTTCGGAACTTGAAAAAGTAGACGTGAACCCTCAACACCTCAACTCATATAACCTGAAAGCTCATGAAGCCCCCTCAAAAAAAGCCAGCAATCTCTGCTGTTATCTGACACCGTCTGAGCACAATCCCCAGCAAGTTGCGCTAGGCTTCAAATTCTCCACAAGCCCATTAACCTCTTTGATCACTTGAAAGCTCATTTCATGCCAGCCGTACTCAAAATCAAACTCTGGACCACGTGCTCCCAGTCCTAAACTCCAAGCCCCAAACAGAGGGCTTCGGGTGCAGGATGTAGTGTTTTAGGGTGTGGGGGCATTCGCGGGGCTTAGGGTGCTGGATTTAGGGTGTGAGATGTTTGGGGGCTTGGAGGGTTTTATACCTTAAGCCCTAAACCGTACAGTAGTTTCCACTTTCTTTTCCATTATCCCTGTATAACCCCTACATAACCCCTATGTAGTCTCTATATAAACCCTATGTAACCCTACCCTGCCCGGCCCTTATAAAATCAAAGTTCGTCGTATTTGTACTGACCTCAGGCCAGGCAGGACTCCCGAAGCACTGAACCCAAGGCCCCCAAAACTTTAGATCCTACACAGGCGGTTTAGAGTTTAGGGCTTAGGGACGCCCTCTAGAGAAGTCATCAGTTGAGAATTTCTGAAAACGGCTAGGAACCCTAAACACTAAACTGCCCATAGCTCAATCCTGAAGGTTTATACGTGGGAACCTGTGAGTCAACTCCCCATTTCACGCGGGTTTAGGGTTTAGGTCGTATAAGGTCTAGGGCATTGCCCTCAATCAGGATCCCAATCTAGACCCGATATGCTCTAGAATCCTTATACATTGGGACCCCCAAAGCCTAAACCTCAACCACGTGAGCCCGGGATCTTGAAGCAGCTCTTCGTACTGCGGCGCCTCGGCACCAAGCACAATGGACCTCGGCTGTTTCAGGGTTTAGGGTACAAGATGTGTCTAGATTTAGGGTTTAGGGTTTAGAGTTTACTTCCTGGTGCTTAATGGAGAGTGGGGGAGTGGATCTCTATGATAATCCCTATAGAATCCCCTACATAGCCCTGAACTGGTACCTACCCTTTTCCTGATGCTCAGCTTCAATAAGGAGACCCCAACGTAAAAAGGGGAAAAAGGGTATTGCTGGGTACTTAGATAAGTCACAAACAGTTCCTGAATCCCATGGGGCTCCAGTAGACTGATGAGGATTTCCATGCCTCAAGCGGAACCCGAAAAGTGGCCCAGAAAGACTACCACCGGTTAAAGAGGAAAACAAATCAGAGGGGGAATGCTTCCATGAACGACCTTCCGTGCCCTAAGCCCTAAACCCTAAGCCCTCAACCCTAAACCCTAAGCCGTAAGCCCTAAACCCTAAAAACTAAGCTCCAAGGCCTAAACCCTAAACCCTAAAGATCAGCAAAGGCGCTCATAGGCTCCCTGTGCTTCGTGGTAGAAGGACAGCGCCTGCAAGCAGCGTCCAACTCCCCCTGAAACACCCCGCAAGCCAACAATGAGCCACCCATCCAGCACCCTAACATCCATCTGTACTCCAAGGGGTGAAGCGTTTCCGGCCTAAAGGTTCCCAGCCAGGTTGAGAACCAACAGCGCTGTGGCCGTAGCTGACAACCCCAACCGGTTAGAAAAGAGCCCTCTATAGGGTCAGTGCTTTAGAACACTCAATGTCTCATTGGCAGCAATCATCAGAAAGTGGATTTGAGGGTTTTAAGATTTTAGGGCTCCCTTTGGGTGGTTTCTAGAATTGCCATGTAGGGATTGAAAGGATATGGTACCCCCGCTGTCTGAGCACCCCGACGCTGCTGCACTCTCCTCGTACGCGCTGGGCAAGACTTATTTTGAGAAAAAATGCAGATAAATCATTCACGCTGCACATCCTAGACGACACACCCCAACTTGGCAGAAACCTACACTCAAGCGAAACTCTGAATTCCACAGCTTTCATTCCAAACCCAAAGCACAGAATCCTTGCCTAAACCCTAAACCCTAAAATCAAGTTCCGAGCCTCTCTAGGCTTTCCTTGCTTGTAGGCACAGAGGCCCATGTTGTGCAGCACTACGGCGTTGTTCCTTGGCTGCTAGGCAGGCATAGATGAAGAGGGATCTCATTTAAGAAAAGGGGATTTGGGCTTCTCAAATCCGCAGGGCCCCTGTGAGTGTCATATAACTCTTCTAGGGTCCTTTTGGGTTCACAAAAATCGTCTATTGATGCCTGACCTTCCCAGATGGACACCCCCTAACTTGCAGACCCTCGTCAGTATCCCTGTGTAGCCCTTTCACATCACAAAAAAAATGATGCGAACCCTACCTCACATGCCCCTGCGCTTCAAGCAGGAATCGTCTACGTAGAGTAACCAACGTACCGGTACAAAAAGGTTGTGTGCCCAATTTCTTCAATATCTTCCCGTGTTTTGCAGCGTAGGTGGTCTACGCTATTCTCGGTAGGCCGCAAGAACTGAAAGTGAACAGGCAGTAGCCTAATGTAGGCGCCTTCATATTCAGAACAGGATGTTGGAGATAGGCTGTATACTGATGTTACCCGGAAGATTAAAGAAACAAGTTGAAAAGACAAGGGAAATCAAATGGAACTAGGGTTACATAGAAATGTTCAAAGTTGTTGTTGTTGTTGTTTTTTGGGGGGGGAGGTTGTCTAAAAGGACCAGTATACTGCAATGACTACCACTATCTAGAGGGGTGTACGGAACATACCTGTGTGCGCAGACTTCCCCGTTTTCATGCTTAAGCCCATGGACTCAGAAACTGAGATTGAGACCATCCGACCCTGGATCATGGTGTCCATCGGGCCCATGTGGGGTTTCCATGTTGCATCGGAACGCTTAACCCTGAACCCTAAATCCTGACACCGTAGACCCTATACACCAAACCCCTAAACCCGCAGGCTGATGCATCCTCATATGTCTTGTGCTCCTTACAGAAGTCTAACAAAGCACTTTTGGAGATCTACTCTAGACCCTAAACCCCAACCCTAAACGCTAGACCCTAAACCGCTAAACCTTAAATCCCTAGACACCTACACCCGAGACCCCCAAAGTCCCAAACCCTAAACCCCTAAACCCCCACACCCCGAAATCCTAAAACCCTAAACCTCTAAACCCGTAAACCCCTAAACACTTGAAACCCTGAAACCCTTAACCCTGAACCCTTAACCCTTAACCCTAAACACTTAACCTTAAACCCTAAACCCTAAACCCTAAACCCTGAACCCTAAACCCTAAACCCTAAACACTTAAGCTTAAACCCTAAACCTAATTGCAGGGTCCAGGCTGCAGTGTGTTCTCCCAAGAAAGGGACTGGTATATTTCGCGTGCCTACTACAAGCGCTCAGGGTTTAGGGCTTAGGGCTTAGAGTGTAGGACTCAGGGAGTACTGTGATGTTGTAATTTCAAGGTTTAGCGTTTGGGGTGGAGGGCTCCCGTTTTGCTTGGGAGTCCTCATAACATCTGTTCTACGATTTGCGGGTAAGAAATGGCAGAGGTGTTTCTTAAAATCATGACCCAACTTCGGAAACAGAATACGTGATTAATGTCAAGTTGAAGTGGTGCCATTGTTTAGGATTTAGGGTTTATAGCCCATCATAGCAGTAGAGTGTTAGTGTGTATTATATATTTTCATTGGAGTACGACGGCACTGTCTTTCGCGACGCTTGTAGCGCGCACGCTCGGGCGCAAGCGCTGCCGCCGCAGTGGTTATGGACACCTACAAACCACTGCGTTTGGATACTTGGACCCTTATGGAAAAATGACAGGATCCCAGCAACCCTGAACTTAAAATCAGGCTTCGGCCGCAACTACATACCGGCGCCTTTGCGAAAAGCTCCATGGCCTCGTCATGGCGCCCGAGGTCATTAAAGTGGTCGCCTGCAAAAGCGCTTCCGGTGTAGGGCATAAGGGTCAGGATAGAGTCCCTAAACCCTAAACCCTAAATCGGATAGAGACTGAGTCAAGAGCTTGGGTTTGTAATCCCCTCCCCCTATAACCAAATAATGCAGCCCGCAAACCCCCTACAAGCACGTATTCCCCTCATCATATTTTTGGCAACATGTTGGGAGCAGGTGAGCTACGGTCGAAGTTACACACCTGCCGGCGGACACGGGCCTGGTGTTATCGTTTTGAATTGTTTCCCCCTCTTGTTGTTCAGCATTGTCAGCTTTTGCAAAGTGATGACTACTAAACACCTCTTGGACTTCACGGTTCGCTGCATGATGGTTATCGTTCGTTTGTCTCTCATAGCGTTTTGCGGGACTTTCCAGCGTCAGCTGCTCAAGTCATGTTCGCCCCAAACAGACCTAGTGAGAATCTAGCGCTTGGCAGGTTGACTGCCGCTCACTTATTTAGGGGGGCGATGGGTCTGTAAAGCAGTGGCGAAGATTCATCTACGGTGGCCAGGCAACATTCTAGGCCCCAGGGATCCAAGTATACAAACTAATTAGTACCTACACTGGGCCTAAAGTCTGTAGATTTTGCCTACATTGGGCTACTGGGATCCTTTGGGAGGGAGTTTTAGCAACTTTGAGCCGTCACTGTTGCTCTGAAGATTTGCTAGAGGGGCTAGCTATACTGTTGATACTAAAGACCTGCATGACTTATTGTACTATAGCACCACAAGTCCAAAGGTCTAGGGTACTTATGGGCATGCAGGAGTGTTGGCATTAAGCGTGGCAACTAGAAGGGTCTGCACTGCAACAACTTGCAGCACACAATGCGCATAAACCCTACACCCCAAACCCGATCTGTCGCCTATGTTGACCACGGCGTCCGCGTAAGACGGCGTGTCTGTTGAACCCACAGCCTCTGCAGAGGCGGGACACTATCTGTAACTGGACAGGGTTTAGGGTGCAGGATTTAGGGTTTAGGGTACTGGACATCAAGGGCTTCAAGTTTGTATCCTTACGATGTGTATTCTTGGGCTTTGGATCCCCAATGCCCGCCCTAATTCAGGGTATATTTCATGGCTTACGGATCCAAAACGTAGCGCGCAAACCCTGAAGGTACAAAGTAAAATCCCCAAGGAAGTAGCACAAATCCAGGAACAGGACTGAAGCACTCTCTAGTATTGTCTGTGGTGCACCTAAGCTTAGTTGGGCTCATGGGCCTAAGGGTCCAAGTACACAAGAATTCAGTACATGGGGTATATGAATCGGGAATCACTTGAACATCTTTGACAGAGACTAACCTTCTACTCAGCAAGATGCCTCAGTCTCCTGGTGCAGCAGACGAAAAGGGCAGGCCGTAATGAGTCCCTGTTGCAGGGAAGGACTTCGAGTGTAGGTAGACCTAAAAAAGTCGGAATCCGAAACCCTGAGCCCGAATAACTGGTTAACTATTTACACAGAAGACAAGCCCCACGGATTCCCACACTACCCACACTACCTGCTACGTGGCTCTAGGAGGAATGATATTGGCTCATCCCCCAAACCAGTATGGAACCCCATAGTTTAGGGTTCAGGGTGTAACGGTGTAACTCGGTGTAACTCTTTAAGGACAGTAGTGTATAACTAGTTTCTGGTGTGGTTGAAAGATACTTTTTGCTTCTCCAACCAGGTAAACTAATGTTCTTCTTTCAAAGTATTACCGCCCCTGGGAGCATATGGTCTTACACTCTACTGGGACTACAACATCCCCATCAAAATGCTACTCCATTGTAGTCCCTCTTAAGTAGATAGAATATGGCTTGGACCACAACCATAATAAGATCCACATATACCCCATGTTCTATCTACTTACTGTAATTAAGGGGGACTATACCCTAAACCCTGAATACCCCATATTCTATCTACTTAAGGGGTACCTTGAGGCTTCTACAGCACCTGGCCTCGTGAGCTATCCTTGCGGCTGTGTAGGCCGCAAGCGCCGCCTCTGGTACTCTTGCGGCTATTTGGAGGGTCAGGGGGACTTAGTAGATAGGTTAATAATGGGGATAACTGGGCTTATCCTATGGCTTTTGGGGGGATAATGTTGGACCCTCTTTAATAAGGGGGGCCCCCCCTAACATTAGGGCCCTCCGAGAAATAGAAATTAGGGATCCTCAGTACGCCCCCCACGGTTCTGAGGTCCCTGTGGATTGATTTGAAAGGGATTGTTGAGAATCCTTCCTATATTTTTAGGCCCCCAAAATCGAAACTCATTATAGGGGACCTTCCAATCATTGCCATGATCCTGAATAGACCGGCCGCTAACCTCATTATAGGGGGCCCATAGGCAAAAGGAGGTCCAACATTATGAGCATGGCTGGAAAGCACCTCCTCGTCCCCCTGGGCGCCCAAACAGGCAGCCCAGTTCGTTAGCGCAACGGCATACCTTTGTTGGTTGCAAATTCAATTTTTTGACGGGGGCCACAGGCGTTCTATAGCTAATAGGGGTATATAGGAAGATACAGGGGTATATAGTTTGGGGCGCTGAGCTAATGCCTACCTACCGTTGATACTGACAATCCTGCATGACCTTACTATACTAAAGTAACATGTACTTAGTGTCATGCAGGATTGAATTTCGTATCCACCGTAGTTGGAGCCGTAGGGTTTGGGTGGAAAGTCAGGGATTCAGGTGGAGTGTGCAAGCAGGGCTTCCGATTGGGTGCTTCAAGCGTTTAGGGTTTATTAAGATTTAGGGTTCAAAGATTAGGGTTAAAGGTTTTGAATTGAGGGTTTCGGGCTGACATTTGCAAGGACCAGGGTTTAGGGTGGAGCAGACAGCATACCCACGCCAACAAAATGTGGTGTGCTATCTATGTCGGTACCTTTGCCATTTCTGGAGGTCTGAGTTGCACTGAGCCACATCGTAGAGCTGAAATATGAGCTTGGCCAAGCATCTTTGCATAGGCCTTTCCGACAAGCAGGTGTCCCTCTTTGGGGTCCCCATAGTTAGCTAAGAATTGAGGTATTTTGGTGTGCCATTGAGGGCTTCCCCCCATTCTGGGAGCTAGTTACTAACCTCATTTTGAGGTCTATTTGCAGTAGCCTAATTCTACGTGATCATACGAGGAATCTAGAACCCAAACTTGAATGTAGAAGCCAGAACAATTTCTATCACAGTTTCAGTAAATCCGTCCCTACCTACCCATAGAATCTTCACCCAGAAACATTTTTCTATGCAATGGTTCAAGCCCCTACTCTCCCTAAACCCTAAACCCTACGCCCCCAAACCCTAAACGCCCAACGCTAATCCCTAATCCCTCAACCCTAACTCCCAAACCCTAACCACTAAACCCCAATCCCCATACTAAACCCTACACCCAAATCGCTAGACCCTCAACCCCACACCCGAATCCCTGAACTCTAAACCTGAATCCCTAAGACTCCATCTCTAGCTCAAGGTTGCTCCTGGGTGTTCTCCCGACCTTCGCTCTCCAGGGAGTCCTGGAAATCTGCTATGGGAGTTTTAGGGTTGAGGGGTTTAGGGCGTACTCCCACCTAGACCCCCAAAAGTATTAGAAGAAATGCCTTCTGGGCGATTCTTAGGTGTTTTTGGGTCATTGGTTTACCTACTTTTGGGGTCCAGGAAACCCTGAAAAAAAGCTTAGGTTTGGGCTTGAATCGCATGGAAAACTCACTCCTAATCGATCTGCAAGGAAGACCACCATCTTCCCAAAGCAGTCGTTTTGTTAGGTTCTGGAATTTCAAACGGGCTGGGGCTTTGGGTTTAGGGTTTAGGCCCCCTGGAACACTCCGAAAGATTGTAGCTTGATTTTCAAGGTTGGGGCTTTTCATATGCAATCCTGACCCGGTTTCGCGTAGTGCTTGTATAAGCGCGTAGGGATCTTTTGCCCAAGCTTGAGGCCCCCTGACCAAAGCTAATACCAATAGTGTCGGCCGAACCACTAGGAGCTCCAAAAGATACCCTTTGGAGGGTCCCTACAACAAGGACTGTAGTGTTTTGGTCTCAACCCCACAACCTAACTCCTGATCCTCCCAGACCCTACACACCGTCCCTTAACCCGAAGCCCGGAATCTTAAATCCTTTTTCAGAGTCTGCTGGAAACGAGTCCTTCTCTTGGCCATATCGCCCGAGGTCATCTGCATCAGGCGCGGCAGGCAAGTACTCGGAAACCGGCACGCCCATTGTGACCGCGGCTAGAGGCTTTTGATTTAGAGTTAGAGGCCTCTACTTTAGGGATGTGAGAGGCTTTGGGAATAGATGGCATCTATTATTGGATCCCATCTTGGCTTTGAAGGCTTTGGCTCTGGCGTTGTGTCCTAGATGCGGGCCTTCTATGACTATCATTTACTTTTATAGGGCCCTCAAAGGGGTTGTTGTAAGACCTAACCCAAGCTCTGGAGATGGCCTCTGCAAGCGAGGGTCGCTCAGAAAGAGGTCATGCGCAATCAAGAGCTGATGCATCTTCATATGAGTTTAGGGTTTATAGGGTTTAGGGTTTAATGGTTTATAGAAAAGCTTCAAGACATGTACTGCTTCAATTTGGCTGTCTCGAGTTTTGCGGCACATGCAGAAGACTAATGGGTACAAGCTGTGCAGCAGAGCCGTGGTGGTGCGTGATGTGTCTGTGGCAGCTCAGTACATTGAGGTCAAAACTGCGGCATGTGGAAACACTTGCGCATGCAGCATCAGATTTGCTAGGCGCAGGCAATTTCTAAAATGATGTACGTTAAGGTGCAATCTGTGGCTTACTGCCTAATAATTCTACTCGTTGAGGCCCCTAAGCCCTAAACCCTAGACCCTAAACCATCCCTATCCCAAAACCAATCCTAGCCTCAGTCAGATGTGTCATCCTCCAATGGGGTCATATAGGGTGTGTAGGGTTTGCATGAGGGTCCAAGTACCCAAGTAATGGGGTTTTAGGTCCCAAATACAACATCTGACTGGTTTTTGGTACCTAAAACCACAAAATTGGGGTGCATGGACCCTCAGGATTATGCTTTTGGAGTTTGGGTGGTGCAGTATGGAATGGTTATGCAGGATTTTTAGTATCCGTAGTAGGGCGTAGGCTTTGGGATTTGCTGGGCCTCGTGCCGCCTCAGGGAGGATAGGTAAGTACATACAGACAACGTGGCAATCAAGGGTAGAGATGGAGAGTGTATGGGCAACATCATCATCTTCTTCTCCCTAAACCCCTATACCCCTGAACCCCTAAATCCCCAAACCCTGCACCGCGTGCAGGATGACAGTGCGCTCACTACCACTGCACCCTGACCCTCCAGAGCTACACCCTCAGCCCCCCCAAAGAGATCCTGAATCTCTTGGGGTTTACGGGTTTAGAGATTTTGGGGTTAAGGGTTTAGGGCAGTTTAGGGTTTAGGGTTTGGGGGTTTAGGGGTTTAGGGTTTTATGGTTTAGCCTTAGAGGGTTTGGGTTTAGGGGTTCATTTCAGCCAGCGAAGTTCAGGGCACATTCCCACTTTTGAGTTTCCGTGGGCTTAGTAGGAAATAAGGAACATACTATTATAGGGACATTTTCCTTTTTCAGTAAGTTGATGGAGGATCCCGTGGCCCTTGAACTACGGTCATTTCTAGGATGCAGGGGCCCTAAGGCTTGAGCAAGATTTTCTGCGTAAACATTCGGAACGGCCCCGAAATGGGCAGACTCCAAAGAGGTCCTAAACTCTTAGCCTTGAACTCTGTACCCTGCCTAAACCCTGAGCCCTGAAAAGCCCTCAGCTTTAAGCCCTAAACCGTAGACCCTAAGCCCTAAACCCTAAACTCTAAACCTCAAGCCCTAAAACCTCAAAATCCTAAAACACCTCAAAGCCCTAAACCGTAAACCCTAAACCCCTAAACCCTAAACCCTAAAACACTACACTTCCAAAAAGCCTCGCCTGCTGGGATGGAGTTGATGCACACAGCCAAGATGACGAACAAGTTGAAGGCAGCAGACCCGACCTTGCTCCAGTTTTCCTTTGTACCCTTGGGTTTTGGGCCCATATGGCCTATTTGGGACCCAAGACATTGCTCCAAGCAAGCACTTTAGGGTTTAGGGCTTAGAGTTTTAGGCTTCAGGGTTTAGGGCTTAGGGTTTTGGGTTTTGGGCTTAGGGTTCAGGGCCTAGGGTTCAATTAGGGCTTAGGGTTTAGGGCTTAGGGCTTCGGGGTTTAGGGTCTAGGGCTTAGGGTTTTTTACGGGGGCTGTGGGGTCCAATCAAGCAGTTTAGCAGGAAATTGTCCGTTGTACCCTTTGGCTTTGTACCCTTGCGTTTTGGGCCCCTAAACCATGGAATATGGCCCTTGACAAGGGTATGTGGGATCCAAAACTTAAGGTTGCAAACATTCAGGGTACAAAAGTAAAGTCGTTGATTTAGGATGTATGTAGAATAATTGCCCTTGGAGCTGTTTTTAGGGGTCTGGTGCTATTTTCTACCTACTTTGGGGGTCCAGGTAGGGTTTAAAGTTTAGAGTTTAGGGTTTATGGCTTAAGGTGTTTTAGGGGCTTGTCGGGATTATGTAGGGAGTTAGCGTTTTGGAGGAGTTTCAGAAGGATGGTAAGGGTTATCTGGGGTTCTAGACGTGTAGGATTTGGGGCTTTAGGGATCAGTTCTCCACTGTTGGTGGGATAACATCTCTAAACCCTAAACTTCGAGCCAGAAAGGAAACCCTAAATAAATTCTCTAAAGCCTAAATTAAGGCCAAGGGGCAATGGTCGACGCTCCGAGCTTTCCCTGGACAAACGTCCGCTTGATGATGTCGTTCAACGACAACATGATCTCAGGAGCAGAAGACCTCATCTTAGAGGGGCTTTGTCTTAGGGTTCACCAGTTTAGGGTTTAGGGATCGCATGTAGGGGCTCAGGGTCTAATTATCCCTCAATAACCTTATTTAAGGGGGAACCTAGTGGCAGTAGTATAGAGGGGGGTAGTAGGGGAACCCATGATAAAACTAAAAAAACCTGAAGGCACAGCTTCTAGGCACTAAACCCTAAACCCCTAAACCCTAAACCGCCCAGGTCCCAATGACTTTACGACCTGGTTTGCTCCTCTGGGCTCTTTGTACCTCCGAGGATTTCGGATCCTAGAACCAAAGCCCCCAGCTAATTGGGGGAAATTTAGGGTTTAGGGCTAGGGTTTAGGGTGAAACCATATGAATTACTATAAGTCCACAAACATAGGCTCTAGACTCTAAACCGTAAGCCTTGACGCTGAAACTCTGCTGACACACTGAGTTCTTATGTATCCAGCCCACAGGCATGGTAGGACTTTCCCCCCAAGTCGTTCTCTGAATGTGGAAACCTCATTTTCCGATGACCTCAACAAACAGGTCCTGTTTAGGGTATCCGTGTTTGGGGGCAGCCCTGTTGACTAAGAGTTCGCAGATACTTTTGATAGTAAGTCTTAAGACAGAGCCTCTTACGGACTGCCAATTTGTGGCCAACAATCCGAAATCACAGCCCATCTAAAAGCCGCACCTACAATGCCCTTCCTCTAGCTACCCCCTTCCCCGCCCACGTAATGATATCACTTATATTGAAGACTAGGAACTTGAAGGAATCTTTCTTGAGGGGAGTTGCAGGGTTTATGCAGGAGGTGCGCGCTCTGAAAAAAAGCCCCCGCAAGCCCTAAACCCTACATCCCGAACCCTACTGAATCTTGAAGCCTAAGCCCTAACGCTCATCCCCAAACCCTAAATCCCGTCCCGTCTGAAGTTGAGAACAGTGACCCTAGCGCCATCAGAGTCAATGTGGCCACGGTTTCGTTCCAAACCTCGGTAGCTAAAATCTGAGGTTTTGAAAGTCTTTAGGGTTTAGGCTGTATAGGGTTTAGGGTTCAGCGGTGTAGGGTTCAGGGATTTAGGGTCTCAGGTTTAGGGATTGGGGATTGAGGGTTTCTGGTGCTCTAGGGTTTGGGGTTAGGATCGAAGGTTTGCATGTTTAGGGTTTGTGGGGTTCTAAGGTGAGGGCTTGGGGTTCTCTGGAATCTGAAGCCCAGACTCAGAAGCAAAGTGAAAAGAAATTAGGACAAACTTGCTGGATGGGTCTAGGGTTTAGGGTTTAGGGTTACTTCCACTGACGCATTGCGCAGCCTCACCCCAATTCTTATACCCTCAAGTCGAAATCAACTTACATGTGCACAAGTTTCCTATGCTCAATTTTTCTTTACTTTAACTGTTGCCAATCAGACAACTTGAAAAGCAATTACCCCCAAAAAAAACCCAAAGTAATTGAAATCAGCCCTAGCCGCCCTAGCCCTTCATTCACATTCCCACGCTGAGCAGTGAACTCTAAGCCCATGATGCACGGCTCAGAGCTCCAAAAACAGGGTCCCGCATGTATCCCAAAAAGCCCAAAGCCCCCCCAAAACATCCCGAATTTTAAGCACCCTCAAATGGGAACCCCCATCCTAAGCCCCTGGCACCTCAGACCTGCCCCCCAATCCCTGGGTTTAGGGTTCATGGTACCCTACTCCCTGAACCCTAAACCCTAAGCCCTGAAACCTAAATCCTAAAACCTGAACCTCAGACCGCGAAAGCCTAGAAAACCCTTACTGCGACTCAAGGGTAGGTATAGAATAAGGCTTTGGGCTTGAATTTTTCGGGTTTGGGGTTTAGGGTTGCTGTTGGGTCATTACCTGGAAAGCCAAGCTACCTAAGATAATGGGCTACTACGCCTGAAGCTCAGGAACAGTCGCCCGAAATCATATGTAGTCTACTGACGTTGTAAGTCCGTATGTTTTCCGAATTTTGAGGTCCAGGCAAGCCCTCTATACTCCGTCTAATGCCTTTGAGAAGGCCCATATAATCCATAATCATAACCACTATGTAGCACAGTGCAGTTTGTCTACGGTGGGTTGCCAGGTACGCCCTAAATCCCGTGCAGGCAGGACGCTGGAGATGTCTTATACCTGCAAAGCTTTGAAGTGCTGTCTGTTTGGGGTGTAGGGTTTAGGGTTTCAAGGTTTATGATAGGGAGTAAGGACTAGTAAACCCTAAACCCCAAACCCTAAACCCTAGGTTTGTGGCTTTAATGGTCCGCGTTGGATTTTGGGGCTTTGGGGATGGGAGTGTAGGGTTAGCAGGTAAAGTTGAAAGTTTCAGCTCAGGAGTTCCAGGTTGAGCGTTTGCCGTGGTTTAGGGTTTAGGGTTTAGGGTTTGGGGAGACTGTTCCTTACTGCTACTGATG